GGGGGACGCTGGGCTTCGGCTGCAGGACGATCTGGATGTCCACCTCTGAGGAGCAGACCCCGGATTCTGGACTTAAAGGCGGGACTTCAGGGGATTTGTCCGCCGCACATACATCACTCTCAGGCTGGGTAATAATCCCTACAGGTTGCTCCATCTCTACAACCTCTGGGTCTGTAGCGGGGGTCGTTTCGGGGGCTGATGCTGCTTCAGAAGCTCCTTCTAGGATGTGGGCTGCCAGCAGCTCCCCCTCCTCCAATGGACTCTCCTTCTGCATACTGATCAGAACCACCACAGGCCTCCGAGACGTGGACTCCCTTCTCTCAGATTTGCTGGGGCTTTTGAATGTTGGTTCATGAACTGGACTTTGGTCAGAAGCGATATAAAACGTTGCTTTCCCGCCCTCTGCTTTGTTTGGCGGCTCCATCACTGGCTTTTCATTAAAGTTAGCATCTCTCTCATGTAGTTGCGTATGCAGTGCAGTAGACTCTGGGATAACACCTCCAGAGCCGTCGGTCTCCATGTCCTCCACACCGAGGAGCTCAAAACTACCGTGACTAGCTGGAGACCCCCGAGGGGAAAGTCTGTGAGGGTCTTCCAGAGTACAGGTGCTGGTTTCAGGGACGGACTCTTCCTGCACGCTGGTGGTCCGGACCTTCAGAAGCTCTAAGCTGAACTGAGCCTGCTCCAGCTCTCTCATCCGTCGGCTCTTTCTCTTTATCCTGATCTTATCGCTGGTCTCGTCCATGCTCATGCTCCTGCTCCGCTCAGAGTCCTCCTCTCTCTCCATGTCTCCCCCGTCTAACACGGCAGGCTGAGGGTCTTCAGTCAGTTCTACTGAAATATCCTGATCGCAAACTTCCTGTCCTGATGAGGTGAGGTCCTCCATGGTTCCTGCATCCATCTCTGCTGCTGCTGGACTCTGATGTCTCTCATGCTGCTGCTTCACGTCCCTGAACCTTATAAGTGGAGAATGCAAGAGTGTGATTAGCAAAGGTCTCCATACAGAGCATGCAGAACATGTCATGTAAAAATCAAACACATATTTAGCTAAAATATAACATCACATTTTTGGTTTCTACAGACTTCCACATTTTTTTATTTAACACTATAACCGCCAGAGGTCGCTGTATACCTAAAACCGCCAACGGGTCAAATTTACTCGCTATTGATTTTCAAGGTACAATGTTCTTTTATTTATCATACAGAACAGTGAGTTGTGATCGCACAGGGATGAAACTTATACCAATAGAATCTGTGGACTCTCAGCTTTTCATATGATATAGTTTGTGCAGATAGCATGAAGTATAACATATCGCTACCAGTGCTGATTTAAAGGCTTGGTGTTAGACTTTTGTTTTGTTTAGTAAAAATCTCTATCTCTCTCTCTCTCTCTCTCTCTCTCTATATCCATCTATAACTATCTATCTGTCTATCTCTCTATCTCTCTCTCTATAACTATCTATCTGTCTATCTCTCTATCTCTCTCTCTATAACTATCTATCTGTCTATCTCTCTCTCTATCCACCTATAACTATCTATCTGTCTATCTCTCTATCTCTCTCTCTATAACTATCTATCTGTCTATCTCTCTCTCTCTCTATCTATAAGGAACCGCAGTAGACAAAAGGCGTTGCTATAGCAACACGTCATGTTTACGCTACGAGGTAAATATGACCCGCTGGCTGATATAGGTATAAATGGCATTTCTTTGGCCGATTTTTCCAATCTGACTTCATATTGACCATTTTTAACAACAGAGGGTGCTACATAACACACTTTCAGGAAAAGTCACGGACTGGGAGACTTGAATATTTTATTGAAAAAAAGTTACATACAATCAAAAAACAGCTGCGGGTAAAACTGACCCGTTGGCGGTTCTAGTGTTAAACCAATGTATTTAGTTCTCTGTGGATGTATTATTAATTCCCCCCAACAAGTGGTCCTGCATGTCCTTATTAATATACATCATTGATCATAGCTGCTTTAAACAATCCCCTATCCTAAATCAAAACTTCCTGCTTGCAAGAAGATGCTGATTATATTGTTTTACAAAACAAAAGACGATCCGCCTGCTCGCTAAGAAGCTTCAAGAAAGTAAATTGGGACATAATGTGCCCCTAAGAGAAGCTGATTATGCACCATAATCCTTTTAAGTAATAAAAAAAAAAAAAGTTCACTCAAACCGCATTGTTTGCATTATTATTATTTATTACAATATATTTTATTCAAAGCTAAACCCCAGATATTTTAGTGTTGTTTGGAATACAGATTTTCAAAGATCTTGATGCCTAAAGAAGGTTTTTATGAACGAAAAATTAACTCAGATCTGACAGAAAATGACATTCTCCTTTCTCCAACATCTGCATCTTGTATAGACTATTCTGCACTACTTCTACTATATTCTATTTGATTGTATTTATTTGCACTGTTGGAGGAGCCTGGGACCTAAGATGTCCATTGTCAGAACTACACTGTAGCTATGCACACATGACAACACAAGCCTTGAATCCTGAATACAACTAAATGTAATCTGATTATTAATCTGATTATTAATCTGATTCACCTGAGTCTGGCCAGGTGTCCCCTGCCTCTGGCCTGCAGCAGCGTCACCGCCCTGCTCGTCCTGCGGTAGCGGCTCCGCTCCCTGAGTCCTCTCCAGGCTGATTGGATCCTTACGGCTGCCTCAGATCTGCGCTGCCGGCACTTCCTCCAGCTCCTCTGGATGACGACGGCAGCGTCTCGCCACTGCAGGAACCTCCTCCGCTGCCTGTAGCTCCTCCAGGCCGCCTGCACACACACCGCTGCCGCCTCCTCCTCCTCTTCCTCATCCTCCTCATCATCCTCCCGGTCCATGGTGGACTGTTTGAGAAGGCAGCATCGCCACCATCGCTGCAGGAAAAGGGAAAATATTTGTTGAATTCAATGGAAAGTCTGGTTGTAGATGTTTACCCATTTCTACCAGAATGGACAGTAGACTTCCGAGTATAACCCAAATCATTGTTTTGAGGTAGGGCTGCTCGATTATGGCAAAAATCATAATCTCGATTATTTGGGTCAGTAATTGTAATTGCGATTATTAAATGCGATTATTCATTGACTTCGAAAACATCCATTTATTGGAGAATTTTTTTTGAACAGTGTGTTTTTAACAGTTGGTTACCCTGAACTTTAAGTATAATTCAACTGAAAAGCAAAAAAAAAAAATTTTAATAATAAAAAAATAATCGTTTTATTTCGATGACGTTGTTTTCGTAATCGTTGCAAGCCAAAATCATAATCGCGATTAAAATACAATTAATTGAGCAGCCTTAGTTTGAGTTGACAAAAACATGCTTATTTACTAGTTTTCCCCTTTATGTTTGATGCTCACGAACAATTTACCCCCCCCCAATATTTCCCATTTCAGTCCCTCTAGAATAGAAAAACCTCACTTATCACTTGTTGACGCTTTTACCCAAAGCTGTGGGCAATACCCAGATTAGCAAAAATCCCTTTTCCACACGTTCCCCCACGCCACAGTAGAAGCACACAATATGAAACTGAGCATAATAGGTCTTCTTTAAATCGAAATGTTTACAGTAAGACTAACTATTTTGTCTCACAGAGGAACTAACAAAGGTAAGCACAAATAAGATATTAAAGGGTTTCTAATGTAAGTTACTCTTTAAACATTTTTTATGAAGTTATCATGTTGTTACAATATGATTCAACATGTTTCAATAGTAGAAATCTATTTAGGAAAGAGAGACAATAATATTAAAAGCAGTAAAAGCTATATTAATAACTGGATCGATCTTTTTTAATGGGGAGGCTATATTTACATCCCTGTGTATCTAGAGTAAATGAACCAGTATTAATCACGTAATGCCTAAACAGTCTAAGTAGTGCTTAATGCACTACGGAAACTTGGCTGTGCAGGATTGTTAAATTGATTCATAATGCACTCACAGCAACCATTTTAGAGCCAATCATAATCGGAAATATTGTTTTAAGTCCATAAACGAAATCTCAGAACTCTTTTCCCACCCAAAAGATCTCACCTGGATGACGAAGGCAGCTCTCCTCATTTCCAAAAAGTGCTTCCTCTCCAGGACGGCTCTGAAGCGGCGCTGCAGCGTGACGATCCTCCGCAGGACCTCCTGGTGGAGGAGAGTCTGAAGACGCTGCCGCTCCGCCTCCCGCAGGAACACCTACATCAGAGCAACATTTCAATAAGCCTGCCACTAAGACAGCTCGGACATTAAAGGTCCCCTATTACTCTGTTTTCCATCAATATATTATAGGTCTCAGATATATACAGAACATGTCTCTGAAGTGTTTGGCTCCAAACACCAAACAGATCATTGCAGCATTACCCATAATCCCCTCTGTTTCAGCCCTGTTTCCAAAGTGCTGATTCTCTGTCTGTTACTTTAGATGAAAATAAGGAGCCCCTCCCCACGCCCCTCTGAGAGAGATTTGGTTACAAAGAACTCAATGGGGCTCTAGGAGGAGATTCAGGTGATAAGGTGGGGGGGGGAGGTTACCTTGGTTGCTGATTGGCTAATGGTTACACAAGCCAAAAAAATCGTTATGACATCATAAAGTGGCCAAAATCTGATCGGCTCATTTTCAGACAGGTTTTTATAGAAATGGATCAGGACAAAAAGAGAGAGAATCTTTTTTCCTGAAACTTTCAGAGTCTCTTTCCACAGAGGGGACACATGTTGATGTAGAAGAGACATGAACAAGTGGATTCTGCATGATAGGTGACCTTTAAATAGAAGGAGTTTATTATTCTTTAGGAGGGCAGCCTCACCATGTGATCGGAGCCGGCACTCAGCAGCTTGCTCCCTTCATCCAGGAAGGTGAGGGCCTCCGCGGCCCCACTGTGAGCCTGGAAACACCCCACACAGGTGGAGGTGGGCACGGACCACACCCGCACCTCTCCAGAGATGGAGCCGGAGCAGAGCATGGAGGAGGAGGGGGAGAAGGAGAGGCTGCGCACTGAGCTCTGGTGACCGCACAGGGACTGAGGGAATACAAAGAAGAGAAATTATCTCAATCACAATATTTAATTTTTTAAGGGGAAATTAGATTTTGTAACAGCTGCTCCATTATAACATGAAATGTACTTGTCTTCAGCCCCAACAGACTACCTGGAGTAGTGAGCATGAAGAATGTACGCTAGAGGGGGTAGGACCAGAAACGGTTTTAAGATTCTTCTTGCCCCTTTTGAACATGACAGAAACTATTTGAGAATTTATTTTTGTATACCTTGAACGTTTTTTTTAATTTTGCTTCTCTTTGTAATGATTATAATTATTATTATTGTTTGTTTTGTTTCTAACATGTTCAATAAATTGACTAATAAAAATATCTTGATAACTCACTGTGAGAGTTTCATTCTGGAGCCAGTTCCACATTATCACGTTCCCATCCCAGCACCCAGCAGCCAGCAGGTGACCTTCAGGGTCAAAGGTCACACAGTTCAGAGGGCTGGAGCTGGGCAGGGCCGCCACCTCTTTACCTTTAGTAGAGGACCACACCTGCAAAATCAGAAAAACATCACTTATTACACATTAATGCACACAATGTACAACAATATCTGTTTTCACTTTTTTTTATTACTGCAATTTTTTTCCATATTTGATTCCATTGCAATGTAAATACTGTTATATTCAGGGGTGCACATAAGTGGTACGCAGGTAACGCATGCGCGGCAAAAATCTGAAATGCGTACCGTCACTTGTGTCACAAAGCGCATTTGCGTACCGACGGAAGGCGGTTAGACCACCGGACGAGTTTCCGTGTGTACAGACAGGGCTGCTGTTAACGTCGGTCTGTACACTGCACGCTCTGTGGTCACGAAGCTCTGCACTCCACTATCCCCCCCCCGCTGACATTCGCGATACAGAGGGCTTCATACCCCACTAGCAGAAGTTGGAGTACCAAACACTGACTCCAGGTACTCATCTGAGTACCTCACTGAGAAAGTTGTGTGCACCCCTGGTTATATTTTATATTGTTTTAAATATTTTTATAGTTCTCTACCTGTATTTTTAATTCTTGTTTTTACTTTTATGTATGCACCACGACACCAAGTCAAATTCCTCGCACGTGTAAACGGTGTAAACCTACTTGGTAATAAACCTGTTTCACATATTTAAGGATAGATAACATTCAATGTTTTTTTTGTGAAATGTACAATTTAATAAAAGTTGACAGTTTAATGTGATTGCGTTACATTTTTAATTCCATTATAGATATTCAAATCCCTATTAGCTGCAGGAAATGGGTTTTCTAGGAATGCAGAATTAATGACACGTGTTAAACGTGATGTTCTTGAGACTCACTTTCAGCATGAAGTCCAGAGACACAGTGGCCAGGTGCTTCCTGTCTGCAGTGAGGTCACTAGCTGTTATCACATTAGTGTGGCCCTCAATGAGAGCAGTCCTGCAGGAAGAAGAAACAGTTTATTCAAGAATCACTAGCCTGTTCCAAAAAACTGTCCGAAGAAAAACCCTGGATTAGTTGTGTGAGAAATAATCAATATACTGTGCCGGAACTTTAAGGGACATCATTTACTGTAGCAGTGTTTTCCCCCGGACCGGATGTGGGCAACACCTTGGAGTTCCAGTTTCAGATTGTTATTTGTTTTTAGCCAGTAGCATGTAGCTAATAGTATATCGTGTATGTGAATATAAGGAGAATGAGGCGTGGAGTTACATACTAAACACGACGTCTCCAACTCTCACTCATCGACGCTGCATTACTACTATTATTATGTATTTAATGAGGGGTGCTAGTGGATCGCCGGAGCTGTTAGATTAGCATTAACTTGCTTATTGTAGTTGTAAGTGCACTGCCTGTAGCCCCATCCTTGATGGAGCGTGTGGGCTGGACCTGTATTTTACAGGAAAGGAATGAGCAGAGGGTAGA